TTTTTTCACTTTATTTTTTTTGTGTTATATTTATTTTTTTTGACATCAGTTATTTTAAAGAAAAAAAATAAAAACAATGGTACAAAATCTCAAAACAAGATTTTAAGAGAGTAACAAGGGTTAGTACATTGTGTATTGTTACTGCCAAAGTAGTTTCTCATATTACAAGATATAGGCAAGAAATAATAAATAAACAACATAGGTACAAACCTCTGTTTTTTTTTAAGTCAACAGAAAATGGAAATATACTTTTTAAAGTTTCTAATACTAGGAGAAGATATCATACAATGTCTTTTAAATAAATTGTAAGTCAAAGATACAGTATAAATCTTAGAACAAAAATTAAGATTAAGCAATATTCAGAAAATTAAATGTTTCAAAACAATTGAACTAAGAAAAAGTTTTCATGATAACAAAGAAGTACTAAGAGTAAAACATAAGATAAATACTGGAATGGCAAGTAAATGACCAGCACTTCTAACAGTTTGAGGACAGGATATCGCACAAAGTTCTAGTGTGTTGTGGACATGCATAATGACCGTGACAGTTACTGGTGGCTAGGTGTCACTTGTGGAAATGAGCTACAGCTATTTCTTTGAAATCCACCCTGTAGACTCAGGTGGAATCATGACTCATAGGGTGGAAGAGAAGTTCATTTGTAGGGTGTGCTGGTGAAAACATTCTGCTGCTGAACACAAAAGAATAACTGAAAGACTACTACTGTATTCCTCTTATTCTCCTCTGTTTAATTGTTTGCCCTATTTGACGGGTTCTTTCCATTCTCATTCATGGGGCTGTGATCAATTTGCTCCCTCTCTAGAATCTCATTTAGTAGTCTGTGTAGGCTTGGCTTTGTCATCATGAAATTCTTTAGTTGTTCTTTGTCATGAAAATATTTCACTTCTCCATTATATTTGAAAGATAGTACTGCAGGATAGATCAGTCTGGGTTGGAATTTGTTTTCTTGCAAGACGTGAAGTAAAACATTTTAAATTTTGATCAGCATTGATATATCAAATTTTTATGAATTATGCTTTTAACATCACATCTAAGAAGTCTTTGCCTAATCATTTCTTTGCATACCAAATTGTCTCAGAGCTAGTGTTCAACATCACTAGTCATTAGGGAAAAGCAAAATACAGTATAACTACAATAAGATTCTACCTCACATCCACCAAAATGATTTTAACTAAAGAGACAGACAATAATGTCTATTGGTAAGGACATAGAGGAATAATTATTTCAAATCCTTTGAAGATTAAAATGCTATAGTAACTTGCTAAAACAGTTTGCTAGTTTCTTACAAAGTGAAAAACACCAGATGCAGTGTCATATGCCTGTAATTCTAGCACTCTGGGAGGGTAGGACAGGAAGACTCCAAGTTCAAGCTTCATCTGAGCAATTTAATGACTTAGTGGGACTATCTCAAAGCAAAAAGTAAAAGAAAGATAGTATAACTGCAAAGATTCTGGACTTAATATCTAGTAAACACATGCACATCCACACACACACACACACACACACACACACACACACACATTAAATGTACTGCTACTATCTGACACAGTAAATTCTCACTGCTATGGTTTGAATGTTTATCCCTGTTGCAAAGTTATGCAGAAATTTAATTGCTACAGTAACAACATCAGCAGGTAGGACCTTTCACAGATGCGTCAGTCATGAGGACTCTGCCCTCACAAGTTGTTAAATGTCGTTATCAAAGGAATGGGTATCCTATAAAAGAACGAATTCAGACAGCACATTGGCCAAGCAATGGCTGTGACTCATCCACAAGGCTGACTCTGACAAAGGATCTACAATCTGAGGTACAGGATCTCAGGATAAATCCTGAGGGGATTTCACTGACCGTATCAGATCCAAAAGCTACAACTCTTGTTGCATAGGTCCTGCTTTACCTTGGTCTTAACCATCCAGCAGAAAAGTATAAAAACGAAGTATAAGAAGTAAAGCCATGTTGTTATGTTGAGCTGTAGAGGACTCAGGTCAACAACTGAAGGCATTGCCAGTGAAGTGGAAGACCCAATACTATTATGAACTACTGGACTCTTTTAGAATATTTTGCTGAGTTTACACACCTATAATATTCAAATAACGGAACTTAACAAAAAAAGGAGATACAGATGAATGTCCATTTTGTATCTGTGTATTCAAAGTGGTTAGGATAGATATATAGTTTACATTCTCTTAATGAATAGAGGGATTTGTTCTAATGGTGTTTGTAAACAGGATATCATGTCTGCATCTTGTACAGCAAATAACCACTAGGAAGAATGTATGCAATGTGTTAATTATTGAAACTGTCCTACCAATTTGATTTGAAACTGTCTCATTGCTATTTGTTTATCAATAAAATTATGGAAAAAAAAGAACAAATTTAGCCTCTCTGTCTCTTCCCTCTTCTCTGACCCTTCTTCCCACCCCCCCTTTTTTTTTCTTTTTAATGTATTTAGTAGAGTCTCACTACACAGATCAGACTCGTAGTGATTCTCCTGTTTTTCAGCCTCCCAAAGACTGGGATTACAGGCACGCGCCATGCCCAATCTCATTCGCTGTCTCAGCATGCCCCGGGAGTGGGACTGGCACAGCAGGACAGGTAACAAACCCCTGACCTCTGCGTTTGCCTGTGTAGGTGCTTTAATCCCTTGAATTCTCTGTTCAACCCTTTCTTCCCTCCCTTTCTTCTTTCTTTCCCTTCCCTGTTTTCCCCTCTCTGCCCTCTCCCCTTTTCATCTCCCTCTCCTCCTCCCCTTTTCTCCAACTTTCTTTCCAAGATAGCCCTTCAGTTTTAGACTTCCCAGCCCCCAGAACCGTGAGCAAATAAATTTCTGTTCATTATAAATTTCTCAGTCAGTGGTATTCTGTTATAGCAACATAAAACAGATTATGATAATTTACCAGGCTACCTTAGAGAAATGAAAATCTCCCTCAAAATAAATATTGTACTTTAATGCTTATAACAGATTGATTATTTATGGTAGCCAAACAATAGAGGCAAACCAAATGTCTACCAACTGGTAATGAAGAAAATATTATCTATCTATAGAAAAGAGTTCTATTTAGTTGTAAAAAGGAATCTCATACTAATAGGTGCTACAATGTGGAAGGACCTCAAGTGGAAGATCCCACATGTAAAAGACTAAGTAACTCTATTTAGGTGAAGCACCTACAAATAGCTAAAGTTATAGACAGAAGAATAGCAGCTGTGTAGGCAGAGAGTAAGGACTGACTACAGATGACCCCGAGGACCTTTTTGTGGCCATGGAAATGTTCTGAAACTGGATTACGATGATGGTTTCTGATCTCTGTAAGTTTAACCAAAGTCACTGAACTGTATACTTCAAATTGCTGTGTTCTTCATCTAGTCATTCAAATAGATGAATCTTGCATTATACTCAGAACACTAACAAAGCTGTTTACTGCAGTATTAAATTTTGAGTGGTATTCTCTACTCTTCACTAGGAATATTTTATTTACTGACATTTTGCTTTATTTAAGGTTCTAATGACACAAAAAAGTATTCCAAACAACTTCTCTTATGAAGTCCTCACTGACTTTATTGAATATGTATATATTCTACAAATTCTTTTTTAACTTGAATTTTCTATAAATTATTAGGTGTATGGAGGCAGGACATAGAGTAGAGATCTTTATGTTAGTCAGAGCCCCTTTCTGGCTAAAGTAGCTCTTTTTGGAGTGGTCATTTATCCTTTTGTCATGAAACCTTGTGCCAAATTAGTTATGTTATTTTGTATAGGACCTGGAAAAATGCTAAAATGTGTGTTCTGAGGATTGATCTAGTATAATTTGGAAAGATTTTCACAATTCAAACAAATCAAGCCATCAAAATTTGACATTTTTGTTAAGCTGAAGTTTCATCATATCCCTTGAGAAAAAACTGTACTATTTACAATTTTGAAGTATTGGAAAAGTATATTTTTGATGTTCTAGCTGTGAAAACATATCTGGAACTAGCTGACATGAATTGCAAGACAATAGTGTTTTTCTTACTGATTGTTTAAAATAAAAATATGATACTGTGTTTTTAAAAACAAAATAAAACAAACAAACAAAAACCCAAAATATAAGCTTCTGGAAGGCAGAGTTTTAAAATCAACAGTCTGAATGGTATCTGCCAAGCAGCTAGTATGTAAGAAATGTTTCTTAAATCAATCTATTTTGGTAGTTCAATTTTTTTTCTTATTCAAAGCTCTCATTCAGATAATCACATACAATTTCAGTTGGAATAAGCAACTCAAATTGCACTGATCAATACACATTTTATACTTGATTCTCCTCACAGTCACATGCATTTATAGGAAAGGTAATTTGAAATCAGGTTTACAGACTGATAGAAAACAGAAGTTGCAAATAAATGTTCTTCAAAAAAATTTCAAGGAAAGTCTTGATCATCTTAGTCTACTCTGATATACATACATAGTAGCTAGCCAACAAACCAAAAACAATTAATGACTTTAAAGGATATGAAGCATATTGCCTTGGTGAAAAAGAAAATACTTTTTGAGCCAAAATGGTAATCACATAAAGAAATTAGCTTTCAGTTTGACTGTTAAAAAAAAATACTGGGGCTGGAGAGATGGCTCAGTGGTCTAAAGCACCTACTTAGAACAAGCTTGGCAAAGCACAGGGACCACGGTTCCATCCCCCAGCACCACATGCCAGCCAGCCCCGCCCCCAGGTGGGCTGAGCTGGCCACACACACATACAGACACACACACACACACACTAAATAAATGTAAAAAAAAAAAATGTTTAAAAAAATACTTAGACAATTACAAATGATGGAATACTAGTTTTCATCAAGATAGTTTGATTATATAATTAAAAGCAAACAAATTATAAAAATTTAGTAATATGCTCAAATTTAACTCAAAACATTAAAACAAAAGTCCTTAAAATCAAAGACCATTATTATCATCACCATAATCACCATCATCATCATCATCATCATCGGAACACACCTTGCAGTTCTGTAGCAGTCGTATGAGATGTTCGAAGCAATTACTGTTAAGAAAAATGGCTTGAAGAACAGGCCTATCTGCGCAGTTTAACATGGCTGTGATGGTATCTAGGAAAGTTAAAAACAAACACAATCTGTGTAAAAGTCAAAATTCAAGATCCAAATTTAGGAAGCTGACAGATCAGATATTAATTAAGTAGGAAATACCAGGGAGGAAAAATATAAAACAAAACCTACAATTATCACTTCACAGGAAAAGTGAATATTTTTATACTTTACTATTTTAAAATACTCACATTTTATATATAACATATATTTCTCAGAGATTGAGTTATTTCATCACAAGGTTCAAATCTACCCAACTGTGTATCTTTTTACTGATGCATTTTAATGATCAGAATGTCATTCCCTGTGGAATGACATGCATATGACACACTTTTATTAATTTCATCCCAGTTGCTTACTATTCCTTGTCTACCCTCTCATTATAATCCCCTTCTTAATCTCTAATGTTCACCTCCTAGTTTCCTGTCAACTCCTATTTATTTAGTACTATTTTAATGCTTTATTTTAATAAAAGAAAATGTCAATATTTAACTTTTTCAGACTGGTTTATTTTGATTAACATAATGGTCTCCAGCTTAATTTAGTTTCCTGAAAAAAAGAAAAAAAGCTAAATAATACTTTAGAGAGTATGTATGCATGTGAATAATGTTTTTTTAATACATTTGTCTGTTGGTGGACATCTAGATTGTCTCCACAATGTTTCTAAAAGTCTAACCAACTATTTTGCTCAAAATGCTATTATTAAGTGCAACTTGTGATATTTGGCAATACAGTCTCATTTATCAGTACAAAATTAACATCTGGGTTCTGAAAATAAAATCATTTTGTTTTTAGTTCTCACAAAGGGTTATCCCTATGTAGAAACCAAAGCACATCCAGCGGGGCATACCACAGTTTCCAACAGAAAAGAAGTTCAATTGCTATGGACACAAACTTATTTACAAATTTCCAACTTATAGTAATTATTAAACACAATGGTAAAATATAAAATAAATGGATCTTATTTTAAAAATGGGTAATTTTAAAGAAAATTTTGATCTTGAAATGTCTCAAATTGATACCACACACAAGAATCTATACATCAGGGCCAGGGAGATGGCTCAGTGGAATAAGTGCTTTCCTGGCAAGCACAAGGGCCTGAGTTCAATCCCCGGTTCTGCCAAAAAAAAATCCCAAAAATCTATACATTAAATCATTAACTTTAGTATGTATATGGAGTCAAATATTAAAAATTTTTGTTTTCAAAAAAATGTGTTTTTTATACATAGGTGAATCTTGTAGTTTAGCTATAAAGACAATGTTTTACTTGTATACTAAAAAAATCTGTTCATAATAATATTTATTTTTGACAATATAACATAAGACCACAATAAAAAATTATATATACTGGTGAGGAAGCTTGCAGAGCCTAGAAATATATATGTACATAGTGAAACAAAATAACAAAAGAGACAAAAAGAGAAATGCACATACACAAGTTCTGAGGAAAAAAAAAAAGAAACAAAGAAACAAAAGCCCTAAAGAGGAAAAACAGAAACTGAACTGAGCTGTATAGACATGTTATAAAATCATACAAAAAAAATCAATTTAACGTAAGTAAAAAACACAATATGCATGACACTCTGAAAGTTTAGTTTTTCTAGAGTTCTGAAGTCAGAGC